GGCCTCCGGGCCGTGGAGGGCTTTACTAGTAAAGTAAATGGGCTGTTGTCCTTCCCCGGCTTCGCTCACGAGGACTGCGCTGACGGCTTCGTTAGAGACGGCCAGATATAAATACAGGGTTTCGTCCGCCGCGGGGCGCGTCAGTACTGGCGGTTCGGAGAGGACGCGTTTGAGGTGGCGAAGGGCTTTCTCACATTCGTCCGTCCATTCGAACTTGGTCTCTTTCCTGAGCAGCTTGAAGAACGGGAGGGCGTGTTGGGCCGATCTCGCGATGAATCGCGAGAGGGAGGCTAGCACGCCGTTGAGGGATTGGATGGCACGCTTCGTGGTCGGCGTGGTTATATTGGAGAAGGCGTGGCATTTGTCCGGATTGGCTTCGATCCCCCGTTCGGTCAAGTAGTAGCCGAGGAATTTACCGGCGCAGACGCCGAAAGTGCATTTCTCCGGGTTGAAACGCATGCGACATGATCTCGCGGTCTTGAAGACCTTCTGGAGGTGTGCTGCGTGGTCGTCTTCCGCGGCGGATTTGACGATCATGTCGTCCATATATACTTCGAGCATGTCCCCGATCTCGTCGCGGAAGACGTGGTTCATCATCCGTTGGTACGTGGCCCCGGCGTTTTTGAGGCCGAAGGGCATCACGTTGTAATAGTAATTGCCCGATGCTGTCATGAAGGCCGTGGCCTGTTTGTCGTGTTCGGCCATCGGGATCTGGTTGTATCCCGAGTATGCGTCCATGAAAGACAAGAGTTTGAAGCCCGCCGAGTTGTCGACGAGCTTGTCGATATTGGGGAGGGGGTAGGCGTCCTTAGGACATGCCCGGTTGAGGTCAGTGTAGTCAACGCACATGCGCCATTTTCCATTATTCTTTTTAACAAGTACAACGTTGGACAGCCAGGTGGAATACCGGGCTTCCGAAATAAAATTTGCCTCTAAGAGGTCTTTTACAGCTTGTTCGGCTGCTGCCGATTTTTCGGGGGACTGGCGGCGTCGGCGTTGTACCACGGCCTTCGCGGTCGGGCTGATGGACAGCTGGTGGCAGGCGACCTCAGGGTCGAGTCCCGGCATTTCCGCGGCGCTCCAGGCGAAGAGGTCGGCGTTCTCGCGGAGGCAGGCTTGGAGCTGTCGTTTCGCGAGGTCGGGGAGTCCTGCGCCTACCCTCACGGTTCTGGTCGTGTCGTCCCCGAGGGGAATGAGCTCGAATTCGCCATCCGGGATGGGGCGCGCTGGATGCGGGGGCTTCTCGTTGGCTTCGTCAGTCTTTTTCTTGTCGAGCTCGTCGGTGAAGCGACTGTCGAGCTCAACTGATCCGACCAGCTCTGTTGGTTTGTCCTTTGGCGTGGCGCTTGGCGCTTTCTTCTTGGTCAGTGGAGCGATGGAGTCGAGGCCTTTCAGCGCGGCTTCGAAACACCTTCGGGCAGCCTCGATGTCGCCGTTGAGGGTGACCACGGCTCCCCTTCTCGTGTAATATTTCATCTTTAGGTGGACGGTGGAGGGTACCGCGGTGAGTTCTGCTATCGTCGTCCTGCCCAGGATGCAGTTATATAGGGACGGGCATTCGATGACTAGGAAGCGGACGTTGATGTCTCTGGCCGTTTCCTCTTCCCCAAAGGTGACTTTCAGTTCCACGTATCCCCAGGGTCTCGTCGTCGTCCCGTTGAACCCCTGGAGGTCGGAGCCCACGTAGGGGGAGAGGTTGGATTCGTTGAGCTGGAGAGTTGTGAACAAATGTGAGTACATTATGTCGACCGAGCTCCCTCCGTCGACGAGGAGGCGCCTGACGTCGAAGTTTGCCATTCGTGCACGTATGAGCAAGGGTATGTTGGAATTGGGAGATCCCCCGGGTAGTTCCTCGAGGTAGAATGTGATCGGGTTGGAGCGGCCTCGGAATCTGTCGAGCGTGCTCATCTTGCCGGAGTTGCCCGCGATGAGTTCGTCGAATTTCCTTTTCACAGACCCTATGGACAGACTCCTCGTAGCTCCATCAGAGATGACCATGGCTCTGGGGAAGTATTCCCATCGGCTGGTCGGTCGGATTGGCTCGTCGACTAAGCTGGGTGCTTCGGGGATGCCGAATCCTCTGTTTGCGAACCAATCTTCGGGGCGGCTGACGCACAGCGCGACCTGGAGTCTCTCACCGTCCTCTGGGGAGGGGAGCTCCTCGATTTTCTTTGCCTCCGGAGCCTCCGACCTGGGTGGTTCACCTCCCCGGGTGTATCGCTTTAGGTGCCCGTCTTTGATTAGGATTTCGATCGCGTCTTTGAGATGGATGCAGTCTTCCGTTACATGCCCGTGGGTCCTGTGGAACCGGCAGTACTTTGACTTGTCCACGTTGGGTTTGGGCGGCGTTGGTCGTGGAAAACGGACACCTCCCTGCACAAACTCGGTTTTAGCGCATTCGGCCAGTATGCGTTCGCGTGAAGCGACCAAGGCGGTGTACTCGGTGAACCTTCCTGCCGGGCCGCGTGACTCGCGCTGTTCGCGGGGTTCGCGGTGGCGGTCATCCCGACGGCGGTCCCCTCCTCGTCGGTGGCTCGAAGCTCCGTCGTCTCGGTGCCCGCGGGGGGCTTCTCTGTCTCGGGTGTCGCGAGCGGAGTTGGCCGCTTGTGTTTCCTCGAACCGGATGTAATGGGCGGCCCTGTCGAGGAAGTCTTGGAGGGACGTGGGCCGGTGTATGCCTACGGCCTCGTAGAATTTGGAGTCATGGCGCAGGCCTTGCTCCATTAAGTAGCGTTTCATTTCGTCGGAAGTCGTCACCTGTACGGCTTCCCGAGTAAACCTTTCGATGTATTTCCGTAGGGGTTCGTCGGAGCCTTGGATGATCGCCCCGAGGACTGCTTCCGTCTTCGGATGACGCCGGGACGCTGTGAAGTGTTTGGAGAATAGGTCCTTCAAGACCCTCCACGATGTAACTGATTCGGGCTCCAGGCTTTTGTACCAGGTCATAGCGCCTTTCCTCAGAGTCGTCGGGAAGAGTCTGCATTTAATAGCTCCCCGGACATTTCGGTAGTCGAGCATAGCCTCGATGTCTTCCAGATGATCGTCCGGGTCGGAGGTGCCGTCGTACGTTGACAGCGTCGGTGGCTTCTCCATTCCTTGGGGTATGGGGGCTGCCATGATCTCCCGGGATAGTGGGGTGCGGTAGTCATCCTCGTCGCTGTGCGCCGGGGATCTCAGGGGAGATGAGCCGTTCGCGGTGTGTCCCGGGTTTCGGGTCCTCGATCTCCGGCCTGAGTTCCCGCCTCGGGGTTCCTCGGTTGGGGTCGCCGTGGCGTTCTGGTTCCTCCCGCGACCGTGCCTTGCCGGGGATCTGGTGCGCTCCCGTGTCGCCTGCGGTCGGCGTCTCTCCAGCCGCGGTCGGCGGTTCCTGAGTCGAGGTGAGGGGCTCCTCGAACCTCCGTTCTGGTCTTCCCGCTGGGGGTACCTCGGGGAGCCGCCGCGTTCTAATGCTCCAATTCTAGCGTTCTGTTGGGACAGCAGCTAGTTCGTCTGGTTGATGGCTGCAAAGAGAGCGGCTACCGTTGGGTCTGCTCCCGCCGGGATGGGGACGGGGTGGAATGCCGGCGGGCTCGGTGGGAGGTGGTCGGCGTGTAGGGGCCGTTCCTCGGACGATGGTGAGGCAGTTTGCCCGTCCCTTTCGTCGGCTTCATTCAGGCGTGCCGTTCCTACCTGCTTCCCGTTGGTGGTAGTGTTGAGCGTGGGATCGTGCGGAGTGTCATCGCGGCGTGGGCTGGCCATGACCGTGGAGGTTTGGTGAAACTTTTGGTTTTTCTGCTCGGAGTAACGGGGAAGTTTCAGTTTCCCACAGACGGCGCCACTGATCTGACCTGATCAGGAGGGATCACGGACTGGCCACACTTCGCTGGACGGTTATCTGTTCGCCGGGGTAAGAACGAAGAGGGGGTGTACCTGCAAAGCACTCCGACGCCCAAGTAAGAAGTTGGACAGAGAGGAAGCAATAGTACAGAAAGGGGGGCAAGAAGAGTTACCTGACCCTCTTGAAGAAGAGGGTATTTATAGAGAGACCCCAGCGCTGGGCCAACGGTCATTCGAGGTGGGCCAGACGACCAGGCCCAACCCTAATGACTGCTAGGGCTTACGTGGCGTAGTGAAGACCAGGACGTGGTCTTCGCCCTAGTTCAACCGCTCCTAGGTCTCCGGAAAGTGGGTTTGACCTGCTCTTTCGGAGGTGGGCGGTTGGCCGATGACGTGTCCCCGCGGAGGGGAGCACGTGGAGAACGTGCGCCGAGCACGTTGTTCTCCCGCGGAGGGAGCCCGGGTAGTCTTGCTCGTCCGGTGTGACGGACGACAAAGGGGATGCGGTGCGATGGCTTGTGCCCGGCGGACGGTCCTGCTCGTCCGAAGGGGCGTGTGCCAGGTGTGCTCAGTTCGCCTGTTGGGCCGTATTTGGTATTGGGCCTGCCGAGGTGAGGCCCATACCGGAACATTATATATTCTACTTTTGATTTGAATTCATGAATAGAATTAAAAAATCAACGTTAAGATGATTAAAAATATTATAATATTTGACAATATTATATAAATGTTAATTTTAATTTTTAATAAATTATATGACAGGATAGTAATTTAAAAACATTATAATTGACAATATTAAAAATTAAAAAAAAAGAATCGGAAGACTTAGTCTTCCGGTGAACAAACGAATAAAATATGAACAAAAAGATTTGCAAAAAGTCTTTCGGTGAACAAACATAAAAAAATATGAACCGAAAGACTTGTAAAAAGTCTTTAAGTAAAAAAATAAAAAAAGTTATAAATTTTGATATGAAGGTATTATGGTCTAAAAAATGTTAATGGAGAGATATAAGTATAATTGTAGGAGTATGGAGTAAAATTTACAAGATGTCAAATCCAGAGAGGTCCAGCCCAACTAGTTTACTCCATGCCACTGAGCTTCACTTCATTTCACAACCAGCACTGCGTCACAGTGTATTGCATTGCACACACTGAAAACAAAACAAAGCAAAGCTTACAGAAAAATGGTAGCCATGGCAACCACCAAGAGAATCGAAACCTACGAAGACTTCGCTAAAGTTCATGCAATTTTACTCGCCGCCTCAGGGTTACCGGAGCCACTTCACCGCAGTCTCTTCCAAAAACTTTCCACCGAGACATTTGACGGCGGCGAACACTTTCAGATCGAACCTTGCGAAGAAAACCGCAAGAGGCGCCTCGTGTTAACTTCGGATTCTATGGCCAAAGACTCCAATGTCTTCCTCATTGATCACGCCTGGACTTTCAGACTCCCCGACGCTTACAAACAGGTCCTCACCTTCTTCAAATTCTTCTTCTAACTCTAAATTCATATTTCTAGGGTTTCATTTTAGTTTTTACTCTGTTAATTTGTTAGTGGTTTTTTTTGGTGGTTTTAGCTTCTTGAAGTTTCGGGATTAGCAGAGAGGATGAGTTCTTTGATGTGTGTAGATACTGGCATAAATTTAGATGGTGAAACTGTGTTGGAGGACGTTGGTGACGAAGTCTCGAGAGACAAGCTTGATGTTGTGGAAGTAGTTGAGAGTGAGGTTCAAGAGGCGAAAAAGAAAGGTGATGGTACATTGAGATGGTTGGAGCTTGACGGTCTTGACATTGATGATGACACACTTCTCTCACTAGATTTGCCTGCTAGATTTCCGGTTTGTAACTCTCTTTTTTTAATTGATTGATATTTGATAGTACATGGATAGAAGCACGGTCATGTATAGAATATTATGACGAAAATTGATTTACTAGCAGACTCCACTTAGCGGGATAAGACTTGATTGTTGTCGTCGTCAATGATATTTGATAGTGATACTTTTTATAGGTTCTATTATCTTGATAGTGTGACATGAGCAAATAGAAATCATCTTTTGTACCCAAAAACAGAAAAGAAATTGTGCTTACTAAACTTAGGAATTCTATGATATGATATGAGTTTAATTGTGTAGCAAGATGACTGGTGGGCATTATTATTATTTGATCATCCCTGGAGTAATAAGTTTGTGTTATTTGTCATTTATAATAAATTGAATAATTATACACTATCCTTGATTTTCTTTGTTTTAGGATTTAGTTGCGCTTAGCCTATATGGAAACAAGCTTACAAGAGCTGACTTGATTGTTAAGGAAGTTATCAAATTTAAACATCTAAAAGGACTCTGGCTGAACAACAATCCAATTCTTAATAATCGGTATGTTTTCTCATCTTTTGAAAGTTTCTTAAATCACACATTCTTTTTTTGCAAGTTCTTTTGTTAAGGAGAACTAAATTACTTTACCTCTAGTGACAGCGAGTTTGCAGATATTATTCTTAAGGAATTACCAGAACTGGAGATTTATAATTCAACTTTCACAAGCAATTTTGGGGAGTGGGCATTGGGCTTTTGTGCAGAGATATATGGAAAGGATAGCCCAACAAATGCTGGTCAAGCTGACAGTCCACTGCTGAGTGTATCTAATCTTGACCTTTCAGATAGAAACATTCACAATTTGATCAACAAGGTTGAACCTTTTATTATGTTTATTTTTTATCTATTTAGCTCATGTTTTAAAAGTATTGATATACTAAAAAAAATTATTTTACTCGAATACATTTTGATTGCTGGAGTTCAAAATTCTGATAATTATGACTGTCTCCTTGAGTCTATGCTCAAGAGATGCAAAATGGTAAACAAATCATAATCAATAAGTTTTTTTTTTTAACACAACATTACCAAATCATTTATTTCCAATACCACATCTGCATGTTTTATCTAAATATTTTGACGATTCCCTCATTTTGTCAGGAATTTTCACCCATTTGTTTGCCATCCCTTTCGTACTTGAACATTCGTGGAAATCCATTGGAGCAAAACTCAGTTGCCAACTTGTTAGGTCTGCTGAGGGGATTCCCTTGCTTATGTTCATTGGAGGTACTTTGATTTATATTATCACAATTTTTCTAGCTCCAAATTCTTGTTATTTATTTAATTCTTTTTTATGTCCATTCTCTGGTAACCAGTGTTTTGGCCTTTGGGAATTTGAGCAAATTTTTAGGTTGATATTCCTGGTCCTCTCGGAGGAAGTGCCGTTGAAATTCTAGAATCTCTTCCAAACATTTCTGAACTAAATGGTATCAGTACATCCAAAATATTGGAATCTGGAAAGCATGTTATTGATTCAGTGCTTCTTCCTCGCCTCCCTGAATGGACCCCTGACGAGCCTATTCATGACCGTATTATAAGTGCAATGTGGCAATATCTAATGACATATAGACTTGCGGATGAAGAAAAGTTAGATGAAACCTCAGTGTGGTATGAAATGCATTTTACTTGTCTTTGCTTTCTTGGTTCTAAGGTAGCACTAGATTTCTTTTGATCAGTATATGCTTTTAAGTAATGAGTTTTTGCATGTGTTGTTTAATTACACAATTTCATCAAGGTTGTCTGATTTGTAATTTATTATTGTGATACTACTTGAATCAATGGGTTAATGTTGGACCATTCAAATTATAGAAATATGCTTTTTCTATATTATTTTCTGTAACATAGTACATGAGTATTTATAGAATATAAATTACACTAAGAAATAGGGGTAATTATTCTCCCTATAAATGCTAATCCTAAATAAGGTAAGAATATAATAATACAATTAATTTCTATTTAATCACAATTTGAATCCAGCCATAATGAGCTGTATGACAGAATCTGTTTTGATTTTGTGCTAATATTCAACACTCCCCCTCAAGCTGGCATGAATATATCGTTCATAGCAAGCTTGCACACCATGTTATCAAACAGTCTCTTTGGAAGACTCTTTGTGAGAACATCTGCTACTTGACTTTTGGTAGGTATGTAGGACATACAAATCTCACCGCTGTCAATTTTTTCTTTGATGAAATGCTTGTCCACTTCAACATGCTTCGTCCTGTCATGTAGGACAGGATTATGGGCAATAGAAATAGCAGCCTTATTATCGCAGTAAACTTTAATTGGAGTTGGGCCAAAGAACTTCAATTCTTCCATGAACTTTTTGATCCATAATACTTCACAAAAACCATGGGCCACAGATCGGAATTCAGCTTCTGCACTGCTCCTGGCTACAACATTTTGTTTTTTGCTCCTCCATGTAACTAGATTTCCACCTACAAAAGTACAATATCCTGAGGTAGACCTTCTATCATTTATATTACCTGCCCAATCAGCATCTGTATAGGCTTCAACCTGTATATGTCCTCTATTTCTGAATATCAGCCCCTTTCCCGGAGTACCTTTCAAATATCTTAATATTCTGAAAATAGCTTCAAAGTGGGCTGCACCTGGTGCATGCATAAATTGGCTTATTACACTCACTGCAAAGGCTATATCTGGCCTTGTATGTGACAAATAAATTAGTCTTCCAGCCAATCGTTGATAACGTTCTTTATCTACTATTTCATCTTCAGCAACTGACTTTAGTTTCACATTGGGATCCATTGGTGTTTCTACTGCTTTAGACCCTGTCATCCCTGTTTCTGCAAGTAAATCGAGTATGTACTTGCGCTGGTTGAGAAAAATACCTTCTTTAGATCTTGCGAACTCCATCCCAAGAAAGTATTTTAACTTTCCAAGATCCTTGATATCGAACTCAGCCTCAAGTCTTCTCTTCAGATCACTAATTGCTTTGACGTCATCTCCTGTAATAATAATGTCATCAACATACACTATTAAGATAGCAATCTTACCTTCAGATGAGTGTTTAAAGAACATAGTGTGATCTGCTTGACTTTGGGTGAAACCGTGTCTCTTAACAACACTTCCAAATCTCTCAAACCAGGCCCTTGGCGATTGTTTCAATCCATATAGGGATTTTCTCAATCTGCATACTTTGTTTCTTCCAAGATTTTTTTCAAATCCAGGAGGTAAACTCATATATACTTCTTCATGTAATTCACCATTCAAGAAGGCATTTTTAACATCATATTGATATAGTGTCCAGTTGAAATTTACTGCAAGAGAAAGAAGAATTCTGATAGAATTGATCTTAGCAACTGGGGCAAAAGTCTCTTGGTAATCAATACCATGAGTTTGAGTAAATCCTTTTGCTACTAATCTCGCTTTGTATCTTTCCACACTTCCATCAGCCTTGCATTTCACTGTAAAGACCCACTTACACCCTACTGCCTTTTTATCTTGTGGTAGATCAGTGATACTCCAAGTGTTATTTTTGTTTAGAGCATCCATCTCTTCTTTCACTGCTAATTTCCAATTCGGATCACTTAATGCTTCCTGAATAGTTCTGGGCACAAACAAATTAGAAATCCTAGACACATATGCCTTATGGGTGTGTGATAGTTTGTCATATGACAAGTAATTAGACATAGGATGTTTAGTGCACATACGAGAACCTTTCCTCTCAGCAATTGGGACATCGAGGTCAGGAATATTTTTTCTCACAGAAATTGGAAGATTAATATCAGGAAAAGACAAATCAGATAAATCATTGGATGAGTAAGAAGGATTACCAGATGAAGAACTAGAAGACAGATTATCTGTAGGACCTTCACTTGGTAAATCAGATTGGATTTCTACTGGAGAGACAATAGGGTTTGCACCACCTTTGTGGAATTTTTTTCGAACATACACTTTAAGTTCAGGATTATCATCCTTAATCAGTGTTTCTCCCCCTGTTTCAGATTCTATTATCTTAGCATTTGGGTGATTTGTAGTCACAATATCATCTAGAGCAGGCAAAGTTTCCCAAAAATTATCTTCTTTATTATTACATTGACTCTCCCCCTGAAGAGAATTTTTAAAAAAAGGTTGATTTTCAACAAAGTGAACATCCATGCTTTCAAAAAATTTCTTTGTAACTGGGTTAAAACATTTGTATCCCTTTTTATTGGAAGCATAGCCAAGAAAAACACATTTTTCGGCTTTAGGATCCAACTTAGAACGAAAAACATTGGGGATGTAAACATAACAAAGACAACCAAAAATTTTAAGGGGAAGATCCGTAATAATACGAGATGTAGGAAAATTGTTTTGTAACACTTGTACAGGACTTTCATATTGTAACACCCGAGATGGCATTCGATTGATGAGGTGACAAGCAGTTAATAAAGCATTTCCCCAAAGATACTTAGGTACATTCATAGAAAACATAATAGCTCTAGTGACTTCGAGGAGATGTCTATTTTTTCTTTCAGCAATACCATTTTGCTGCGGAGTATCGCGACAAGTGGATTGATGAATTATCCCCTTAGTTACAAGGAATGTACTTAAATATTTGTTGAAATATTCAGTGCCATTGTCAGACCTTAGAATGCCAATCTTAGTTTGAAATTGATTGTTAATCATGTTAAAAAAATCTTGAAATCTTTGTTCAACTTCTGATTTTTTCTCCATGAGATAAACCCAACACAGCCGTGTATGATCATCAATAAATGTTACAAACCATTTTTTTCCAGACATAGTTTTAATTTTTGAAGGACCCCAAACATCACTGTGAATTAAATAAAAAGGTTTAGAAGCAGAATAGGCTTTTGATTTAAAAGACACACGATGATCTTTAGCTAAGTGACAAGCTTCACAATGAAATTGTGAGGAATTTATTTCTTTGGAAAAAATAGGAAACAGATGCTTAAGATATGAAAAACTAGGGTGACCTAATCTTTTATGCCATAACATAATTTGATCTGAAACAGGAGATGCGTTTGTACTGTTTGAACCGAAAAACGCTTTATTGCCAAACTGAATTCCATCAAGGTAGTACAATCCATTCATCTCTCTAGCAGTTCCAATCGTCTTCCCCGAGTTCTGGTCCTGAAAAACACAAGTAGAGGGACGAAAAAGAACAGAACAATTAGTGTCCTTAGACAATTTATGAACAGATAGAAGATTACAAGCGAATTTAGGAACATGTAAAACAGATTGCAAAGTGATTTGCTCTGAAATTTTTATGCTGCCTTTGCCTGCAATACTTGAATAACTACCATCAGCTATCCTAACTTTTTCAAAACCTGAACTAGGAAAATAGGTACTGAATAGATGAGAGCAATTAGTCATGTGTTCAGATGCCCCTGAATCTATTATCCAAGGGTTAGAGTGGTTGTGAGCAGATAGTGCCCAAGAATCCTTACCTGTTTGTGCCACAGTTCCAGTAGGGATATTAAGAGATGAATTGGACTTTAGAAACTTAAGAAGGTTATCCATTTGCTCCTTCGTACATGGAGACGAATCAGCCTCATTGGCCATAGGCATAAGACGATCACCAAACTTACCAGCCTTGCCATGATTTGGTCGCCCATGTAGTTTGTAGCAAGTTTCCCGAGTGTGGCGATTGCGCCCACAGTAATCGCAAAATAAATGAGTCTTGTCTCCACCTCGTTGATTATGAAGTGGTTTACGATTGACATGGGGAATTGCCAAGGCAGATCCTTCAACTGGTGGAGGGACAGCTGCTGTATTTTTGCCAAGCATCACTTGCCGACGACTCTCTTCGCGACGTACTTCTGAAAAGACTTCACCAATTGGAGGGATAGGATTTCTGCCTAGAATTCGGCCACGAACCTCATCAAAATCAACATTTAGACCCGCAAGGAACTTGAAAACACGACTAACATCCACCATCTTCTTGTAATGTTTGCTATCGGCAGGTGATTTCCACTCATACTCATTGAAAAGGTCCAAATCTTGCCAAATACGTTTGAGACAATTGAAGTATTTGGTGACTGAATCTTCACCTTGCCGAATTTCTCCCAATTTGAGAGTTAATTCGTAGATTTGGGATTGATTTTCCAAATCAGAGTACATTTGGGAGACACCTTCCCAAAGTTCTTTTGCAGTATCATAACAGAGATAATTTGCACCTATCTCTTCATCCATGGAGTTGACTAACCATGTCATGACCATGGAGTTTTCAGCATCCCATGGATCATAATCTGCACCTGCCTTGTCTGGTTGTTTTTTGTCGCCAGTAATGTAGCCAATCTTTCCTCTCCCCCTGAGATACATACGAACGGATTGCGACCATCGAAGATAATTAGCACCGTTCAGCCGAATTGTTGTGATCTGAACAGGGTGGTTTTCATGGTACGTTCGGACTAATTTAGGTTCGGGTGAGGAATGTTTGGGTGAAAGTGAGGACTCGGTATCAGACATTGTGGGATGTAAAAAAGATAAACAGAGCGGAAGCAAAAACAAAAAAAAAACCCTAAAGGATTCTTGTTGCTACTGATACCATATAGAAATATGCTTTTTCTATATTATTTTCTGTAACATAGTACATGAGTATTTATAGAATATAAATTACACTAAGAAATAGGGGTAATTATTCTCCCTATAAATGCTAATCCTAAATAAGGTAAGAATATAATAATACAATTAATTTCTATTTAATCACAATTTGAATCCAGCCATAATGAGCTGTATGACAGAATCTGTTTTGATTTTGTGCTAATATTCAACACAAATTTTTGGGCTCAGTATATTATATGAAACACATGATCAAATTGGATTTTCCCAACAATAAACAAACTGACATCATATTGTTTTGAATATCTTTAGGTATGTGATGGATGAATTCGGTTCTGCTTTGCGGCACAGTGATGAGCCAAATTTTAGAGTGGCACCTTTTCTTTTTATGCCGGAGGGCAATCTAGCATCAGCCGTGAGGTTTTCTTCTATATTTTTCTTTTCACATAGGTTTTCTTTCTGCTTTACTATATGATTGAGCTTGCATAATTTGTAATATTTTTCTTGATCATTTTTTTATTGTAAGTTTTGCTCATCAATTCATGCATGCATGCTCATTAATAAATAACTTAAATACTTGCGTAGGTCATGTTAGTGATTTGTAAGTGTGGAACTTTTTCCTCCTTCCTTTTAATGAATTATGTATGTTGTCCCATGACCTCTGGATTTGTGATAGTTCAAAATTATTCACTGTACAAGTAATAACTCCCACTTTTCCCAGCTATTCTATTCTATGGCCAACACAGAATGTTTGGAAAGGTGATGAATGCACTCGTGACTTTCTTCTTGGTATTGGTGAAGATAAACAACGCTCTGCCAGACTTACTGCCTGGTTCCATACGCCAGAGAACTATTTTATCCAAGTATTTCTTCTATTACAATAATAGTTTATGATAAAAATACATCATACGGAAGTATTATAGAAGTTTAAAACTAATTAATTTACTATTTTCAGGAGTATGAGAAGCACAATCAGAAATTGCAATCCACAAGTTTATTACCACCCACTGTGCAGTCTTCTGAGAGTAAAAGTATCCGCCCACATGATGGACGTCTATTACGGGTTTACACAGATATACCTCACGTGGAGGAGTACTTGACACATCCTGATTTTGCAATCAGTAAGTGGACTGCATGCAACTGATAGATACTTGCTTAAATTATATTGCATATCCTCCTTAAAACTATTTAAATATTTATTTCTAACATTGGTTTTTGTGTGTTCTTCTGTTTTTTTTTTTTTATACTTAACCCCAATGGCATTGGTTCTTGATCTTCAGCCCTTAAACTTTAGTTTCATCATCCGAATATTTCAGTCCCATCTGTTGGACCCATATTGAAGGGTTCTTATCTGGATTGGGTTGGAACTGCTGGAGTATCACCTTTCTCATAAGCTTTCCCAGGTTTCCTTAGGATTTTGGGTTTAGGATTGTTAACCCCCTATCACTTGTACCAGTGTAGGAAGTAGAAATGCTCTTCCAGTGCTTCCTCCACAACCATCATTTTATGCATGTTGAACTGCTGCTCAGAATGGATCATCCACCCACACTCCTTTAAAATCTGCAATCATTATCTGTTCCTCCTTGAATGCTTCCCATATGCTTGCAAATGTCCTCTGCAAAACTTCTTTAATTTACTTCTTGATCAGTCCACACTGTTCCCCATTTCTTGGGAGCTTCAATGCTAGGTACTGGTTCAAAATATGGAGGCAAACAAAAAGAGTATTATGAAATTTTATCATAAATCCTCCACTAACTCCATTCTGGATCAATTGTTATCCAGGTCAAGAAGAGCAGGATGACATATAATGATGTCTTCCCTATGTATTTGCGCTGGTCTCTCCCAATTCCCACACAAAACTAATTAATCAACTTCCTCTAGCTTCTCTGCCTCTATTAAACAGCCTAAACTTTAACAGCTTTCCTATCAGAGACAGTGTTTGGATTTAGGAACCTTTCTTTTGGTATATGGAAAGAAATCACCCAAAACTGGACATAATTGAAGACACAAGATAATGATTTTAACTAGAATTAAGATTGATCAACAAAATTGAGATAAAAAGAATTCTTTGAACATCTTGTTGCTATTAATTGAATGGGATACTAGGATTGAAAGAGAAAGATACAAAAGGTATACAATGAAGATGATAACCCTGCACTAAGGCTCCCCAACGGAGCACTCTCTAGTCACAATTTAATTACTCAAAGCTATCTTTCCCCTCCACCCATTGAAGGCTATTCAAAGACTTTTTAAGAATAATCAAAATAATTATTCAAAGACTTTTTAAGAATAATCAAAATAATTATTCTTAACAACCACCTTGCAAACTTATCAATTTACTTGGTAACTTATAACTACTCTAACTATCCAACAGTCTATATCCTAACATGAGGTGCTTGGCTAACAGGGTTCCTTGACTTAATTGATGTAAGCTCTCCTACTTGGGTCTGCTCCAAACATCATGCTTAAACTCTTATATGTTTGTTCTTTCTTCAATTCATAGTTAACAATTAAACTATCTTGTAGCTTGGATCACTTTGAATATAAGTCAATCTTCAAGTGAAGAGCCTAAATTGATTTTTCCTTCTTTGATTCGAACCTTTTTTCTTTTTGTGCATAATTGCCATTTTGATGTTTGTCATAAAATTCCCTTGATTTTGATTTTGATTTTATGGTTGTCTCCACTTTTAAACTTCAACAAATTCTGACATTTTCCCTCTTGTTTTGAATGTGTTTGGCTACAGTAAAGGACCCAAAAGATGCAGATATAATATGGACATGTGTGCAGGTAGATGAGGAATTGAAGAAGGCCACAGGATTAACAGATCAGCAGTACATTAATCAATTTCCATTTGAGGCTTGTCTAGTCATGAAACATCATTTAGCAGAGACAATTCAGAAGGTGATATTATAGTTAAGTTAATATTGTATACTGATGTAGATGATATTATTGTAAATGTCTGACATGTTTCCATCATCCTTTTCCATTGAAATGCCCTCACATCCTCGCAGAAATATGCATTATTATTGTACTTGTTCATCCTAGCGTGCTGCATTTTAATTCTTTTTTTCAAGTCACTTACAAATAAATCGAACTGTTAGTCTCTCTTTTCTCCTTTGAGGCTTTTTAAGTAATGAATCATTTTGGTGTTGGGGTGGTTTTCCTTGCTACAGGCACATGGATCTCCTCAATGGTTGCAGCCTACTTATAATCTTGAAACTCAACTGGGTCAACTTATTGGTGACTATTACGTACGCAAAAGAGAAGGACTAGACAACCTTTGGATCTTAAAACCCTGGAACATGGCCAGAACAATTGATACTACTGTAACTGATAATTTATCGGCCATAATCCGACTAATGGAAACTGGTCCAAAAATATGCCAGAAGTATATTGAACAACCTGCTTTGTTCCAAGGGAAAAAGTTTGATCTCCGTTACGTAGTACTAGTTCGGAGCATGCATCCTTTGGAGATATTCCTGTCAGATTGTTTCTGGGTATACTCATTCTTCGTTCTTTATTTTATTCCTATGCTCTTAAAAGATTAATTCTAAGGGCAATAAGTTTTATGTTTTATTTTAGGTAAGGATAGCCAACAACCAATATTCTTTGGACAAAAGTAGTCTTTTTGAGTATGAAACTCATTTCACTGTTATGGTATGTTTGGTTAAAATATTGAATATTCGAGTGCTTTCCTTTTTCTTATTAACTTTTAACATATTCAATCAATGCATGGATCTCAGAATTATCGTGGAAGAATAAATCACAAGAATATTAAGGATTTTGTGAGGGAATTTGAGGAAGAACATCAAGGTAATTGGGACTACCATCTGTATATCATCTGCCAATTCTAAAGATGAAGTCTTAGAGGCTTCCTGAGCATATTGTACATTTTGAATGAATTTTTGATACAAATTCATGTCCCTGTATCTCTTGCAGTTAAGTGGTTGGATATACATACAAGAGTAAGGAGTATGATTCGTTCAGTGTTTGAGGCAGCTGCGGTTGCACATCCTGAGATGCATAGTCCAACATCAAGGGCAATTTACGGCGTAGATGTCATGTTAGACAGCTCTTTCCAACCTAAGTTACTAGAGGTTGGTAACTGAATCAGTGGTTCTCATTCGACGTTCCGTTCTGTATCAACAAGTTGTATATTTTACCTGAACTAACTCCTTGATTTTAGGATACCGGTCTATAAATTGCTATTTGTCTAAAGCAGCATTATTTGTTTAGGATGTATTTCCCTATGTGAATTATTGAATTACAGGTATAACTTGTATTTTCTATTGCAGGTAACTTACTGCCCTGATTGTACGCGAGCTTGCAAATATGATATGGATATCGCAGTTGGAGATGGAGGTGTTTCCAAAGGTTCTGATTTCTTCAACAATGTGTTCAAGTGTCTTTTTTTGAATGAAATTTCTCAGGTTAGTCCATTGTAATCTAGTCATTATATAGATTCGACACTTTTACCTAAAGCTTTCTTC